CCTTATGTTTGCCTGCCCCCTCCCCCGTTATCCAAAGCCCCGCAAGGTTTTCTGTGTGACAGCACGGATATTCTCTGAAGGTTTCCAGTCCCTTTCCGCGTCTCTTTTAGACCCCATTCGGTACAGACTCCCTTTGATAATTTAGCTGCTTCACCCGATTTCTCAATTCTTTGACAGAACATGTCGATAAATAAATATTTATACTATTAAAAACGACTTAAAAACCTAATCGGGCAAAGCAACCCGTTGTGCAGTAAGATGACCCTTCTAGATGTGACGTACAGTAGACTTTAAAGTCTTCTTCCACAAACTCCTCCGTTATCGGACGAAGGCTTAAGCCTTTCACTGCTGCAGATTATTGTTTGAATAGGAAGTGCTGCATCTTTTTAATACACGAGGGAAATCCCAGGGCTGCCCTGTCACCAGCCTCTGATCCTCCTCCTGTGGTCGATTCGCTTCAGACGTGCTCCACACTCTCCATTTCCAAACGCCAGCGAGTAAAGTGCGAGTTGCAGGAAATGCACAGAAAGCGAGCCGCTCGCCCCGCATACCCAGGATGCCCTGTCGCATGATCCGCACGGCCCGCTGCGATTGGCTGCTCGACGGGCATCACCAAACAGACCCGCTATGTCCTGGGATACAGGCCTCCCTTTTCCATTTCACCGTTCTTTTCCATCCCAAACCTCACTTTCATCCCCCACCTCCCCCAACCCAATCACCTCCCACCAAAAATGCGACTCAACCGTTTCCATGGCAACATAGGTGGAGGAGGGGCCCGGCGACGGCACAGCGGGCATGGCCACCCAAGCAGAGCTCACTGAGGTCCGTGAGGGCAGTGGCGGTTTTGGGCATCTACCATTCTCTTACATGAAAGTGGGGAGACCGCTTTGGGCACCTACCATTCTGTGACGGGGAGGGGGGGGTGAATAGCACGGGCTTTGACCTTGTGTAGCTAACATGCCCTTTCTTCCCTGCGCTGTGACAGACTACTGGAGACATGGAGGACTCCCAGCGACAGAAGGTTGATTAATTGAATGGTTTATACATCTGTACAGCCTCTGGGGCTTCACTGCTTGTTTTGTATTGTGTTTTATTGTTTTGTTTTGTTTTTCTCTTGGCTGGGACACGATTTGTGTGTATTGCATTGGGGGTTTTTTGGTCACTTTGGCTTTAATGACACGGGCACACGGCAGAGCGGCTCGTCCACCCAGAATGCACTTCAGCAGAGCAGCATAAGGCAGTGGGCCCTTTGAAGGAAGCCGTCACACCTGGATCTTTATGCCGTAAAATAAGGCTTTTCTGTGTGAGCTCATGTGCTCAGCATGAAGAGATTCAGAAAAATGTCCTGCACTGTTATCAGACACATTTGGAATCTGACTGTGGTCGTGTTTATCTGATTGGCGCACAAACTCTAACTGCTCCTTCCTGGATTACCTCCAGCCGACGTGTGCTGTTGAGAGGCTGCTGGAAGCCTGGACCCTACACTTTTTCGTGGGGGGCTATGTGACCCCTGCCTGTCTCCCCGTGTGCCCCTGTCATTAAACTTTTTTCAGCTGTGGGTTTCTTCCATTGCTCTTGTTTTTTGTGTTTGCCTGCTGGTCCACTGTCACGATGGTCTCACTCCATTTTTGATTCCACAGAGCAAGTTGAGAGTACAGGGGGAAAATATATATGTCAGACATAGCAATTTAATGTTGGAGGTTGGTATGAAGGCCGCGTTGGGGATGCTCCCAGAATGCACCTCTCTGCCTTCCTGTCCTGGCCTGGCCTGCACTCTCGGGCTCTGCATTTCAGACATACTGCATGATCTGCATGTGAGCCGAGGGGGGGGGTGCATGCTCAACCCCCCCACCCCACGCTTGTTCACGGGTGGAAGGGATTTGGGTTTTGGGGGGGGTTGGCTGCTGTGATGGGGCCTGCAGGCTGATGTGTGCACGATGCCGTCCATTCCGTGGTATCTGTTGATCTGCGATCGTTCTCTTATCTGGAAACATAACCTCACTAATATAGTTCATTTAACGGAGCGGAATTTCTCGCTTTGGTGGCTTCATTCATTTTTTTTTTCCCCCCCTCTGTGGTATTTATAACAGACCGCCGACCTCAAGTAACCAGATGAACCTGCATATCAGAAACGTGGAGTGTCAGTACTGAGTTTTCAGTAGGCCCCAGAAGAGACGTCCACAACCTCGTGGTGACCTTGTAGAGTCAGTAGAGATGCTCTGGTGAGCCCTAAGCATGACGAGGATCAGATAGACACCTGGAAGAGCAAAGCCAATCAAGAGTCAACTTTTCTGCCTTCCTAGTTGAGCACAACCAATTAAGTCAATCGTTCTGCTATGAGGCCTGATTTAAGACGAACGTTTGGGTATGGGGGGGGGGGGTGTCAAGAACTCCGGCAAAGGAAGAGAGGAAGAAAAACACAAGAACTAAAGAAATGTGGGGAGGGGTGGGGGCAGCATAAGGGATCCCCAGGTCCCTGAAGAGGACGAGACCCCAGCTGGACACGGGAAGCAGCTCCGCTGGCCGCAGGGGGATGTGCCGCAGGGGGATGTGCCGCAGAGGGATGTGCCGCAGGGGGATGTTCCGCGTCCTGATGCTCATCACTCCGAAGGCCATTTTAAAATGTCGTAATCCCCAGTGCCAACATCACACTCGCGCCCCACACAGATGAAAAAGCCATCAAAAGGGGGCTTTACGTGTGGGCCTGTTCACACTCCACAGTTCTGATGTGCGGATTCATAATCAAACTAAACAGAAAATCCTGTACGTGAGCCGTGTCTCGCTGAGGCCCTATTAAAACAGAGTGGCAATAAAGTGTTTTTAATTGGCTATGAAATGAGTAATATTCTTCAATAATGAAACGGTGCTGTTGCGTGTGTTTCAATTACATCCTGTTTAAATGGCAAGTCGAACCCGCTGCCATGTAGATGGAAACACGTTCTCCCAGAGTGTCAAGCGTGCCTGTTTTGAGGGTCTGGTTAGACACGGTAACCATTTTATGTTTCATTAATTTTTGTTTTTATGTATGACCTAATGCATTTGTTGTCCATTATTCCCCATATTGCCCCCCCGGTCCACCTTCCCCAACCCCTCCCTGCTGCGGTGTGGGTCCCAGGACCTGGATAAGACCCAGGAAGATGTTTTGAAACACCAGGCTAGCATTAGCGAGTTAAAGCGCAATTTTATGGAGTCCACCCCCGAGCCCCAGCCCAGTCAGTGGGACAAACGCCTTACCGCCAGTCCCGCCACCAGCCTACGTCTGCGGGCCCAAGCGGTATGTGTCCTGCATCTCCCTCTGCCCGTGCCCAGCGAGGTCGCGGTGGCACCGCCCTGGTGGTGGGCAGTCTGTATGGCAGTTGGGATCCTCCCCCTTTCTCTGCTCCATTACTCACACTGCTTTTGGTTTCTCTCCTCCCTCACCTCGCCTCACTAAACCATCACTGGTGTCTCCATGTGGTTTTGCCTCTTTGGATTTATTAATATTACCCACGATTCCTGGCTGTCACACAGGGGTTAGCCACAGACCTCTTCCTGTCGGATCTCTGCTGCATTGTTGCTGTTTAGTTGTGTTCGGTGCTGGTCACGGATGTTTTTTAGTTTTCCGGTGAATCCTCCAATCCCTGCTGCTCTTGCTTTTCCTTCACGTTGCGCTGCAGATGCCTGGCATGACCTTCGAGTTTGGTTTCTGATGTCTGCGCTTCATCTGTGGGTCAGCCTCAGTCAGATGTCCCGCATGTCTGTCTTTTTTTGTTGTTTTTTTTTTTTTTTTTTAATGGTCTGCTGGCTCTTCTTTTCTTTTTCTTATCGCTGTGATGTTCCCTTTGCCTTGTGAAATGGTATAATAGCACTTTCTTTGTCCGAGGTTTGCCCTTTGATCATAGAGCCACACTGCATGCCATTGCTCCGTAAATAAAAATTGGTAACACTTAAGGCCGTGTTGTTGGTAATTCATAGACGCATTCATAACACACAACGCATTCACAAAGCATTATAAACATGGTTCTAAATATCTAGCAAAAGGCATAACACATTATATAATGTATTATACATTATTCTTTATGAAGCTGTCATCTATAATGCACCTTAATGCATTATAGTGGTCAGTATAAGCCATAATGCATTATCAAGGTATTTATAGGGCATTATAGATGAGAACTTTATAAAACAGTCATAATGTATAATAAACATAGCTATGAGGTTATGCATTTTATAAAAAATGTATAGTTATATGTTTAATACTTTATGAATGCATTATAATTCATTATGAATGTGTTTAGAAATGACAAAAAACATTTATGGGTGTGATGCCATGACACGTTGCGGTCGAGCCTGGCGGTTGTGTGAGTGTGTTAAACGTTCCACGGCTAGTATTGAGCGAGCGAGGGACCAGTCTCTCTCTCTCTCTCTCTCTCTTTCTCTCTCTCTCCGAGGCTGTTTCCCCACTAGCTGCTGTAAGGCGCCGTTCCGTTCCCACTTCTCCCAGCACCGTTTTTCTGTTCTGCAAACTAAGCTGCTGTCCCCGCGTGTCCCCGCATTCCCCGGCGTGCCTCTGTTCAGCTCCCCTCCTCACTCGTAAGCCTGCCATGTTTCCACATCCCCTGTAACTCTTGGTTCTTCTTCCTTCTCCTCATCCCCTAACTCACTCCAGGCCTTTGAAGAGGAGGTCCCCAGCAGCTCTGTTTTATCGAGCACGGTGGCCGTTACCTCCG